CTTGTTTCAAATAAATAAAGATATTCTAACTGATAACAAGCTTATGTTTTTTCCAGCTAAACAAACAAAATGCTGCTCCTTTTTTCAGTAATCTGAGGTAAAGGTTGGGTATCAGCCCTAGGATTCCCCCCCTTGTAAAATGAAGGCAAATGCAGACGCCAATGATTGTGATTTATTTCCATTCACATGTGAATACCAAAACCATTTGAATGAGGAATTGACGTAGGGTGTTCAAAGACACAAACTCCTTTGTGATTCATTCAAACGAAGCTCCTGGTAAGGAAATAAATACGAAAAAAGGCAAGTACATTAAGGGATATTTGCTTTGAAATTAGTTACAGACACGCTAATAATATATTAAATAGGTAGTTAACAAACCCACAAGACTTGGACCAAAGTCAGAATTTGCATATGAATATGCATATGAACGTTGCATAAGCTGTAATGTTTGACTTTTGGTTAATACGGGAAGAGGATTATCCTTAAAAGTGGAAGGAATTAGAACAGAAATCACAATGGATGCTGTTAGTATGCATCAATAAACCACAATTTATATTAAAGCCAAACAGTGTGCTTGTTTTACCACGTAACGGTCTGGATGGAAATAGGTCCTCACTTGATGGATTAACATGGTTCATTCTAAGGGTCCATTAACTGTATCATCTAATACAGATTATTATCACGAACTTTATAAAAATCCAGGAAAAAGAGTCGAGGAAAAGTTTACCATCACATGCAGTGGAATTCATGTCCTAGTTCATGTTTTTGTAATGAACAGAGGTCGGACCCAAAGACAGGCAGAGAGCGGAGCAGACCTGCCAGGGGGCGATGGGAGACTTTAGCCTGGTTGCAGGGGGAACAGGTGGAGACGAACCCCTTGACGTCCTTGGTCAAGGAAGGCCACCAGAACTGGGAGCGGATACGACGAAGGTTGTTGGTCGAGGACCTTCTGTCTTAGGTGGTCTGGGACAAAGAGCAGGTCCTTGGGGCAGTTTTCAGGGATTTGAGCGGATATCAGAGACTCCCTGACCTCCCCCTCGAGACCGAGGCGGGAGA